TGCAGATGACATGATCCTCTACATAGAAAACCCTAAAGGCTCTACCAGAAAATTCCTAGAGCTAACCAATGCATATAGAAAAGTTGCAGGATATAAAATTAACACACAGATATCCCTTGCATTCCTATATACTAACAAGGAGAAAACAGAGAGAGAAATTAAGGAAACAATTCCATTCAGCATTGCAACGAAAAAAATAAAATACTTATGAATCTACTTACCTAAAGAAACAAAAGACCTGTATATAGAAAACAATAAAACACTGATGAAAGAAATCAGAGAGGACACAAGTAGATGGAGACATATACCATGTTCATCGACTGGAAAAATCAATATAGTGAAAATGAGCATACGAGCCAAAGCAATCTATCGATTCAATGCAATCCCTATCAAGCTACCAATGGTATTTTTCACAGAACTAGAACAAATAATATCACAACTTGTATGCAAATACAAGAAAGATCGAATAGCCAAGGCAATCTTGAGAAAGAAGAATGGAACTGGAGGAGTCAACCTGCCTGACTTCAGGCTATACTGCAAAGCTACAGTCATCAAGACAGTATGGTACTGACACAAAGACAAAAATACTGATCAATGGAAGAAAATAGAAAGCCCAGAGGTAAATCCATTCATCTATGGACACCTAATCGATGACAAAGGAGGCAAGAATATACAGTGGAAAAAGACAACCTCTTTAACAAGTGGTGCTGGGGAAACTGGTCAATCACTTCTAAAAGAATGAACTACAACACTTCCTAACACCATACACAAAAATAAACTCAAAGTGGCTTCGAGATCTAAATGTAAGACCAGAATGCTGGGAAAACTGATCAATCACTTGTAAAAGAATGAAACTACAACACTTCCTAACACTATACACAAAAATAAACTCAAAGTGGCTTCAAGATCTAAATGTAAGACCAGAAACTACAAAACTTCCTAGAGGAAAATATAGGCAAAACACTCTCCAACATAAATCACAGCAAGATCCTCTATGACCCACCTCCCAGAATATTTGAAATGAAAGCAAAAATAAACAAATGGGACCTAATTAAACTTAAAAGCTTTTGCACATCTGTGTCTCTTTTTCTGTTTTGCATATAGAGTTATCGTTACCATCTTTCTAAATTCCATATATATGCGTTAGTATACTGTATTGGTCTTTATATTTCTGGCTTACTTCACTCTGTATAATGGGCTCCAGTTTCATCCATCTCATTAGAACTGATTCAAATGAATACTTTTTAATGGCTAAGTAATATTCCACGATGAAGAGGGAGGTGGGAGAGGGGATCGGAATGGGGAATACATGTTAATCCATGGCGGATTCATGAGAATGTATGGTAAAAACCACTACAATATTGTAAAGTAATTAGCCTCCAACTCATAAAAATCAATGGAAAAAAAAAGTTTTTGCACAACAAAGGAAACTATAAGCAACGTGAAAACACAGCCTTCAGAATGGGAAAAAATAATAGCAAATGAAGAAACAGAGAAAAGAGTAATCTCAAAAATATACAAGCAACTCCTGCAGCTCAATTCCAGAAAAATAAATGACACAAGCAATAAATGGGCCAAATATCTAAACAGTTATTTCTCCAAAGAAGAGACACAGATGGCTAACAAACACATGAAAAGATGCTCAACATCACTCATTATCAGAGAAATGCAANACAGAAATCCCTTGCATTCCTATACACTAACAATGAGAAAATAGAAAAAGAAATTAAGAAAACAATTCCATTCACCATTGCAATGAAAATAAAATACTTAGGAATATACCTACCTAAAGAAACAAAAACCTATCTATGGAAAACTATGAAACAGTGTTAAAAAAAATCAAAGACTGCACAAATAGATGGGGAAATATACCTTGTTCATGGACTTGAAGAATCAATATAGTGAAAATGAGCGTACGATCCAAAGCAATCTATCGATTCAATGCAATCTCTATCAAGCTACCAATGGTATTTTTCACAGAACTAGAACAAATAATATCACAATTTGTATGCAAATACAAGAAACCTTGAATAGCCAAAGCAATCTTGAGAAAAAAGAATGGAAGTTGAGGAGTCAACCTGCCTGACTTCAGGTTATACTAAAGCTACAGTCATCAAGACAGTATGGTACTGGCACAAAGACAGAATAGATCAATGGAACAAAATAGAAAGCCCAGAGGTAAATCCATGCACCTATGGACACCTTATCTTTGACAAAGGAGGCAAGAATATACAATGGAGAAAAGACAATCTCTTTAACAAGTGCTGCTGGGAAAACTGGTCAACCACTTGTAAAAGAATGAAACTACAACACTTCCTAACACCATACACATAAATAAACTCAAAATGGCTTCAAGATCTAAATGTAAGACCAGAAACTACAAAACTCCTAGAGGAAAATATAGGCAAAACACTCTCTGACATAAATCATAGCAGGATCCTCTATGACCCACCTCCCAGAGTAATGAAAATAAAAGCAAAAATAAACAAATGGAACCTAATTAAACTTAAAAGCTCCTGCACAATAAACGAAACTATAAGCAAGGTGAAAAGACAGCCTTCGGAATGGGAGAAAATGATAGCGAATGAAGCAGCTGAGAAAGAATTAATGTCAGAAATATACAAGCAGCTCTTGCAGCTCAATTCCAGAAAAATAAACAACCCAATCAGAAAATGGGCCAAAGAAATAAACAGACATTTCTCCAAAGAAGACATACAGATGGCTAACAAACACGTGAAAAATGCTCAACATCACTCATTATCAGAGAAACACAAATCAAAACCACAATGAGGTACCATCTTACTCCAGTCAGAATGGCTACAAACAGTAAATGCTGGAGAGAGTGTGGAAAAAAGGGAACCTTCTTACACTGTTTGTGGGAATGCAAACTAGTGCAGCCACTATGGAGAACAGTGTGGAGATTCCTTAAAAATCTGGAAATAGAACTGCCATATGACCCAGCAATCCCACTCCTGGGCATACACACTGAGGAAACCAGAAGTGAAAGAGACACATGTTCTCCAGTGTTCATCACAGCATTGTTTACAATAGCCAGGACGTGGAAGCAACCTAGATGTCCATCAGCAGACAAGTGGATAAGAAAGCTGTGGTACATATACACAATGGAATATTACACAGCCATTGAAAAGAATGCATTTGAATCAGTTCTAATGCGGTGGATGAAACTGGAGCCTATTATACCGAGTGAAGTAAGTCAGAAAGAAAAAAAACACCAACTCAGTATATTAACACATATATAGGGAATTTAGAAAGATGGTAATGATGACCCTATATGTGAGACTGAAAAAGAGACACAGATGTATAGAACAGTCTTTTGGACTCTATGGGAGAAGGCGAGGGTGGGATGATTTGAGAGAATAGCATTGAAACATATATATTATCATATGTGAAACCGATTGCCAGTCCAGGTTGGATGCATGAGACAGGGTGCTCAGGGCTGGTGCACTGGCATGACCCTGAGGGATGGGATGGGGAGGGAGGTGGGAGGGGGGTTGAGGATGGGGAACACATTGTACATTCATGGCTGATCCATGTCAACATATGGCAAGACCACTATGATACTATAATTAGCCTCCAATTAAAATAAAAGATAAATAAAAATCACAAAGAATGTACATGTTGCTAGAGATATTTTTAAAAGAAAAAATATCTTCCATAGATAATTTTATAAACTCTGGTGGTATTTTTTCTTTCCTTATGATTTTATAATAACAAGTAGTCTAAATAAGAAAAAAGCATAAGTCGTGATTTCATTCACTTAATGTATGTAATTACCCATTATTTGCTGACATTCAGAAAAAGAAATCAGAATTTCTCCAGAGGAAAAAATATAGTTCTCCAGTTTTTCTTTCAAGTTGTTGCAGCTGAAAATTTTCTCATTTAATGAAAAGAGATTAAGAATCTCATTTATAAAATTATAAATTATAATTTTAGTAAAAAGGATAAATAGAATGCTTCTTTATTTCCTCTTTATTTTCAGAAAGATCTAAAACACCCACCAAGGTTATAGCAAACAGTTTAAGATAAATTAGGTGAGTACATTTAAGTATATAGTGTCAGACATGAATGAGCGACTGAACTGAACTGAAGTTAGAAACCACAAGAAACAGAAGGGCCAAAAATTCTTAATTCATAATACATCTCCTAAGGCCTAAAACAGGGCTCATCTTGAATTGTCGCTAAACAAAAGTTTTGCTAGGTTAAACAGAAGACATTGCTTCATTAATTTCAAAGTGAGATTTTTAAAAGAGAAAATTTTAAAGAGAAAACACTTCAAATTTAAATGGACTTCCAGAGGGAACTATATTCAAAAAACATATGTACATACACAAGTATGAACAAATCACGTTACTGTACACCTGAAACTTACACGGTATTTTAAACTGACTACACTTCAATTGAACGAAAAAGCAAGAACCACCACCAACCTCGAAAACCACCACCAAAAACAATAAGGAACACATTTTCTTTCAGTTCTTCATAAAAATCAGCCATATGCCATTCAAAAGAGTCTGAGCATTGTTTTTTCATGACCTCACTTTCTCTTCTTACGTTGAATTTGAAATAATGTCTCGCAGAAATATAACATATTTCAGACCAGTTCCTGGTCTGACTTACCCCCACTATTTCTGTTGTGTGTGTAAAATAATCTGTCTCATCTTCACCCTCATTCCATCTTATATTCATCTTGTCCTTCTTAAAGGAATTCTTCCCCTTCATCCTCCTCCCCATCTTCATATTCATCTAGTTGTTTTTCCTCAGTGCTTTGTAATTCAGTATTTTCATAATGGTATACTTAGTATGCCAATATTTATAAATCTGAATCATGCACATGTATGACTCTTATTATCACACCATTTCGTATCGTGACTTTGAGGGCTTCTATTTCTCTGGTGGGATTCTTTCGGTCTTCATAAGGATCAGGGGAATGGTATGTAAACAAGTACAGGGAAAGAAGAGTTACAAACAGAACCACTTACCTTTGTAGGACCAAGGCCTGCTACAGACTTGGGAAGTTTTGGAACAGGCTCAGGTGATGGGAAGACAGGCTGACAGATGCCCTCAAACCAGGGTGATGGTTTGGGAAATGTTTCAACCACATCTTCAATGTTACTATCAGAATTATTGTCCTCAGAGAAAGTGGTACTCTCTGGTCTCAAAATGCCACACTTTGCTTCTACTACAGTGAAAACAGGAGAGAGTACATGAGAACATGTGTCATTTCAAATCAGGGAATAACACCAGAAGGACAGTCTTCGAATAACTTACTGTTTCTGTCGGATTGCTGAGAAGGCTTCATGAGCTCTGTTAACTTTGGTTTCACGACATGCTGGAGGAGAAAATAAGAGCTTGAAGAATATAACAAGTATCAACCTGAATCAATTTATAACATCCTTCACTCCTCTATGATCTAACACAAAGAGCACAGGCTCTGGGGTCATTCAGATGTGGATTCAAATCCCAGTTCTGTCACTGGCTGACCTGCTCATGGGGAAAGGATTATGACAGATGACATCAGAAGCCCTGGATGTTCCTCTCCTTACCCCTAATTGACAGCTATACAAATACGATGACACCCACTAGATTAATTTCTCTACCAAAATGTTCGAGAATAATAACTCATTCCCAGGAGTTCAGAGCACTATTGAAAAACTAAGATATTTAAATTAATTGCTATATTTTTAAATCTGCTTCCATGATTAATATACACATGAATTATCACTTGGGAAGGGAAATATGAAAGTTTAGGTTTTAGCAGAACCTTATTTAGATGGGCTAGAACTGCAAACAGGATAAGCTACCTCTATTCTGTTTGTCAAACAGCTAGAGATATAAAACAGGGGGAAAAGAATCAGCTGCTTCTATGAAACAGGGAAAGAGCAAGGTTAAACCCATAGGGCAATGATCATGAATGAAAGCCACAAACACTCTAAATAGACAGCCATAAGAAAACACGTGCACAATAGGGGAAGAGAGAGATGGACTGAAAGAACAGACACTGAAGAAATTTGCTCTGTGAGGAAAAATTAACAGTAAATATTTTTAAAAAGAAATTAAAAAGGTAGAGGAGAAAGAAGAAAGGAAAAGGTGAGACATTCTTAATCAAGAACAAACTTCACAGGGGAAAAAAAAAGTATAATAAGATATGTGGAGGAACACATATATTTAGAATTTATATACAAAAGATCAGTAATATAGCAGTATATAAGGATATACTATGAGCAAAGCCTCTTTTTCATATGATTTTATTAATCTAATTATATGCATCTACACTGTTCTTCAAATTTTATGAAGATATAAACATCAGTTCAGGTCAGTTGCTCAGCTGTGTGTGACTCTTTGTAATCCCATGGACAGCAGCACACCAGCCTTCCCTGTCCATCACCAATTCCCGGAGGTTTTACAAACTCATGTCCATCGAGTCGGTGCTGCCATCCAACCATCTCATCCTCTGCTGTCCTCTTCTCCTCCCGCTTTCAAACTTTCCCAGAATTGGTATCTTCCAATGAGTCGGTTCTTCACATTGGATGGCCAAAGTATTGGAGTTTCAGCTTTCTGAATGTTGAGTTGTAAGTCAACATTTTCACTCTCCTCTTTCACTTTCATCAAGAGGCTCTTTAGTTCTTTAATTTCTGCCATCATGGTGGTGTCATCTGCGTATCTGAGGTTATTGATATTTCTTCTGGCTATCTTGATTCCAGCTTGTGCTTCATCCAGCCCAGCATTTTATGATGTACTCTGCATGTAAGTTAAATAAGCAGGGTGGCAATTTACATCCTTGATGTATTCCTTTCCCCATTTGGAACCAGTCTATAGTTCCATATCCAGTTCTAACTGTTGCTTCTTGTCCTATATACAGATTTCTTAAGAGGCAGGTCAGGTGGTCTGGTATTCCCATCACTTGAAGAATTTTCTACACTTTCTTGTGATCCACAGAGTCAAATGGTTTGGCACAGTCAATAAACAATAAGTAGATGCATTTCTGGAACTCACTTGCTTTTTTTATGATCCAGAGGATGTTGACAATTTGATCTCTGGTTCCTCTGCCTTTTCTCAATCCAGCTTGAACATATGAAGTTCATGGTTCATGTAATCTTGAAGCCTGGCTTGGAGAATTTTGAGCATTGCTTTCCTAGTGTATGAGATGAGGGCAATTATGTGGTAGTTTGAACATTCTTTGGCATTGCCTCTCTTTGGGATTGGAAGGAAAACTGAACTTTTCCAGTCCCATGGCCACTGCTGAATTTTCAGATTTGCTGGCATATTGAGTGCAGCACTTTCACAGCATCATCTTTTAGGATTTCAAATAGCTCAACTGCAATTCCATCACCTCCACTAGCTTTGTTCGTAGTGATGCTTCCTAAGACCCACTTGACTTCGCATTCCAGAATGTTTGGCTCTAGGTGAGTGATCACACCATCCTGGTTATCTGGGTCATGAAGATCTTTTTATACACCTCATCTCAATGTATTCTGCTTCTGTTAGTCCATACCATTTTGTCCTTTATGGTGCCCATCTTTGCATGAGACGTTCCCATGGTATCTCTAATTTTCTTGAAGAGATGTTTAGTCTTTCCCATTCCATTGTTTCCTCTATTTCTTTGCATTCATCCCTGAGAAAGGCTTTCTTATCTCTCCTTGCTATTCTTTGGAACTCTGCATTCAAATGGGTGTATCTTTCCTTTTATCCTTTGCCTTTTGCTTCTCTTCTTTTCTCAGTTATTTGGAAGGCCTCCTCAGAAAACCATTTTGCCATTTTGCATTTCTTTCTCTCCAAGATGGTCTTGATCACTGCTTCCTGTACAATGTCATGAATCTCCATCCATAGTTCTTCAGGCACTCTGATTATCAGATCTGATCTCTTGAATCTATTTGTCACTTGCAGTGTCTAATCATAAGAGTAAATACTACATGAAACTAAATTCAGAGCATGAACACAAATTTCACAACAGAACACTTTACCTTGGTTTTAAAATCTAAGACTTCATTGTTTGATGTAGGCCTTAAATCAACGCCAGGTTCATTGGGAAACCTTTAAAGCAGAAACATACAAAAAAAATGAGTGAGCTCATTTCCTTGAACAAAGGAAAAAAGGAAAAAAAACGAGTGAAAGTCTCTGTATATATTAAACTTTCTTGACATGAATAAAATTTGGCCTGTTTTAAAACAGCTTTTTTTTTTTTAAATTTTTAAAGATTTTTTGATGTGGACCACTTTTAAAGTCTTTACTGAATTAGTGCCAATGGTGCTTCTATTTTATGTTTTGGCTGTCTGACCCCGAGGCATGTGAGATCTTAGCTTCACTGACTGAGAATCGAACCCACACTGCCTACACTAGAAGATGTCTTAGTAATCATCTTAACCACTGCACCCCCAGGGAAGTCCCCAAAAATGTTTTTCATTACATATCTGCTTCCTTGTCTCCCAATCTATGAAATATCTACTTAACAATCATTCTTAGATTCCATAAAAGAGAGTGACAGCAAATATATCAGCAGAGTCTAAAAATAATTTGTTTTCACCAAAAGTTCTAATAGCTGAACTGAAAATCCAATTGATGGACTGAAATTATTCTTGCTTGCCCAAACTGGAATAAACCTGATGTTTTAAAACAAAGCGGAAGAATAGGCTTTGCCTTCTCCATTGTCTGTTCAAGGCTCAGAGACGAATCTGAGTTGGTCCAAAAGGGGAGTCTTGGTCCATCAGCAGGGTGCCACTCATTGAGATGGCACCACTTCTCTCCTTTACTCTAAGAGGGAGTACAGGGAGTTTAACCACAATGTCAAAACTTAAAATGTACACAAGTCAAAGGACTAATTTATATCTTTAACTTATATGCTACACGGGTACTTCTCAGTCTCTGCCTAGGGCCATGGGAGTGGGTGTGGGAGCCAGGAAGGCCAGCTGTCAAATCACAGGTCAACTCATTTTAACCAGGGTCAATTCATTAACCTCCTGAAACCACAGTTGCCTAATTAAGTAAAAGTAGGACACAGCTACTTGACGAAGCTGCTGTGCTAACTCTATGAGGTCACAAATGTTAAGCACGTAATGCAGTGTCTAACCCAGAGTAGAACACTCGACAAACATTAGTTTCACTTATTCCATGTTCCCTTAGTTAAACATATAATTTAAAACATCCATAAAATCCTACCTCCTTGAAGAGTCCTCTTCAGAACTCTCATCCACTATTAAAGAAAAATCAAGACACATTTTAAATCAACAGAAGAAAAATACAGAATATGAACACCTCAAGACTGATGCTTTGTTTAAAAGTATTTCTTTCAAACCACACCTGGAGGCCACACTAGAGGAAGAGAACAGTGGTTGTACCCTTCTCATAGGCTCACCTAAGAATGCCTAAGAACCACTCCTCCCCTTTATAGTCATCACATGCAAAACAAAAAAAAAAAAAAAAAAAAGAAAGAAAGAACTGCTGTTTACAATGACCATAATCCTAACCAAACTCTAAGAGACTGACAGACAATGATACTATACAATTAATAGAATCAGTACTATAAGCTGAAAATAGCACACTTAAATAGCACAGTATTTCTGGACTTCCATTGCCTGGAGCACTGAACAGAGACTATAGGTGTCTTGCTGGGACATGACAACTCCTCTGGCTCTTCAGTTCAGAATGAAAACACCCTATCACAGGGAAGCTTGGTCCACAGGCACTGAACTTCAGAGTGTGGTAAAGCATAGGAAACAAAGTCTTCTCTGCCTGGCCCTCTTTCCAAAGACAAGAGAAGTATGAAAGAAGTAGTCATTCCAGACTTAGAAAGGATAATCTCTTGAAAGGGAGGTGGGGGAGGGCAAACGGGTAAAGGGGATCAACTCGGTGCTGAGAGTGGGGACTCTTCTTGTAGACTTGTAGTGGTGAGATTGCAGTAGGTTACACAGAAGCTGAACTTTTTAAAAAAGTTCCATATATATATACACACACAGACCCACATACACACACAGACCCACACACACACAGAGACACTAATATGTCTAAAAAGAATCTCTTGAGACTGTCTCCTTCCATTGCTCAAGAGTATCTGCACCACATAGAGCAGGATGGTCCAAAGAGTGCTGTGTACTAGTGAGGGCTAGCATTATATCAATCCTTCCCATTATATGGTAAATGTTTATAAAAATCATGCTTTTTCAGCTTGGAAGGCATACGTCATCACATCCTAAGCTGATGAACAAGGGGAGGGAGGGAAGAATGGAGGGAGCCACGGACTCTGGTTCTGCTAAACATTTCCCAGGGGTCGTCATGATCTGATGCTGGAGGGATGACTCACATGCAGTGACTCCACGGGGAGAGGAGCACTGCGAGCTTGAGCCTGGAGAGCAGGGGCAGTGAATTTTAACTCTTTTCACTCTGTGACATCAGAACAATGCTTAGTACACAAAATACACTTGAAAGCTATCTGTTTAGTGAACAAATGAGCAAATAAATAAGCATGTTTTTTTGAAAATTTTGTTTAGAAAAATACAGAAATTAAAATAAAAAGAAAAATACAGAAATTAACCAGAGAAAACTCTATTCTATTCTGAGCGTACTGAAGACCAAGACACTCTCATCTCTGTATCTCCTCTGACTAATGTATTAAACCAACCTACAGTTCTTTGATAGATGTTTTTGTTGTTCAGTCACCAAGTCCTGTCTGACTCTTGTGACCCCATGGACTACAGCTCACCAGGCCCTTCTGTCCATGGAATTTCCCAGGCAAGCGTACTGGAGTGCATTGCCATTTCCTTCTCCAGGGGATCTTCCTGACACAGGGATCAAACCATATCTCCTGCATTGGCAGGTGGATTCTTTACTACTGAGCCACCTGGGAAGCCCCATTTGATTAGATAGAGGTCTACTCAGTCAACGGTATCCTTGGATACCCTGTACAATATGCTAGATGCCACATACAGTGGACCTAATGCAGTTTTTGTTAATGCAAAGTATTTCTGTGCTTTTATTAGAACCTGCAGAGTCCCAAGTCCATCTGTTTGGAGATCTATTATGATACTTTTTTAATTGATGGCAAGAGAGCATCTTGTTCTTACAAAACTATACTGTCATGACAACTGGCCATCACACAAAAGAAAACATCTGGTCCCAATGAAGTCAATCTATCTCACTCTCTTTGGATCTGTAAGGAATTAAGTTGGTAAGCTACACCTGCTTGGTACAAAAATAGGCAAAATAACTGATTCTCAACCAGGCATTGCTTTTTGGCCTTCGGTACTATTGGTAAGTATCTTTCAGAAATAATCTCTCACTACTATGCTGCACACTGGCTCAGCTTTGCAGTTCTTATTGTTTATCATTTCTTATCCTACCAGGAAGGGATTATTCAGGTTCCCAGTTTTAATGATGGTAAATATTTTAGTGAGACTAATCACTACACAGTAACTACTAACTATTCATTCACTAAATGCAAACCATTTCTTTCTTTTTTTTGTAAAACCATTTCTATAAATGAAAGTTCACTTTCATAAGAAGTCCAATCTGCTATAATATGACTATAGGTGAAATATACATCATACTCACTTAATTATTTTTTTTCTGATTTACACAAAGATCTAGCATAGAACTTTAGGGGCCATATTAAATAGATGGATTTCTTTTCAGACAATACTGTCTTTGATGTTAAATCACCTACAATTAACTTCTTAATCACTTCTGAATACTAGAGTATTAGGAAATTAATTTAGAAAATAATATACTCATGCAATTTATGCTAATTTTTCATAGTTCTTTCATTATTGAAACTTCTTCACTCCTACTTTGTCTATGGTAGAATCACCAAAAGTAATTCGGTATCATATGACGTACCTGGGTTGCTCTTTTCAGGAGAAGTTTTAGGTCTCTTTCCTTTATATTCAGAAACCAGTTGGCGAAAGCTATGTATTAAAAATGTAATAAGTAATATTTTAACACTGATATGAAAAACTACCAAATTCTTAGACCATTTCAGACAATGTCAGAGATAATATCAAAACTTCAATTGTCCCATACATTTCAAGTTTCTAAGATCTATACACTTTCATTTAGCATGTAGTAAAGGAGAAAGTAAAGGTATGTTGTCACCCTGTTTATTTAAGCTCTATGCAGAGTACATCATGAGAAAGGCTGGGCTGGATGAAGCACAGCTGGAATCAAGATTGCTGGGAGAAATATCAATAACCTCAGATATGCAGATGACACCAGCCTTATGGCAGAAAGTGAGGAAGAACCAAAGAGCCTCTTGAGGAAAGTGAAAGAGGAGAGTGAAAAAGTCGGCTTAAAACTCAACATTCAGAAAACAAAGACCATGGCATCCGGTCACATGACTTCATGGAAAATAGATGGGAAAACAGTGGAAAGAGTGGCTGACTTTGCTTTCTTGGGGGCTCCAAAATCACTGCAGATGGTGATTGCAGCCATGAAATTAAAAGATGCTTACTCCTTGGAAGGAAAGTTATGACCAATCTAGACAGTATATTAAAAAGCAGAGACATTACTTTGCCAACAAAGGTCCATCTAGTCAAGACTATGGATTTTCCAATGGTCATGTATGGATGTGAGAGTTTGACTGTAAAGAACAGCAT